CCAACATTTCTTTCACTAGATGTTCCATTTCACTTTTCTGAAAGTGAGGGTAACGATAGGGCCTTACATTGATAGGTTTAGTGTTAGGCAGAAGATATATTCGATGGTCGAAGGCCGTTTTGGAGGAAGTGATTTAGGGGAATCAAACAATTCAGAAAATTCAAGCAACAATTGTTTAAATGGCTCTGGCAGACTAGAAGGAAGAGATAATTGATGTGGCTGAGGTGTGTCTGGGGTCATGGGGGGAGGTTCTCCACTTAGTTGATATATAGCAAAAACACAGTCAACGTTGTTGGAGTCAACCTCAGCTTCTAACTGTGAAAAGGAAATCGGTTGAATGTCTATGCAAGTTTCTCCCCGCAATGTAACCATCTTCCCTTCATGTTTGAATTTCATGGTTAAGTTGGCATAATCATGTGCCACAGTTCCCAGACTTTGTAACCAGTGAATGCCTAGGACCAAATCAGGCCCGACAATGGAAAGGACATACAAATCCATCTCAAAGTGGGTACCTTGCAAGTTCACAACAACGTTTGGGCAATAATATTGGCATAGAAGCGTGTCACCATTGCCAATATAAACCTTAAACGGTTTAACCGGGTGTACGGGCAACTTTAGTGTTTCAACGGTAGATGGCTTGATAAAATTGTGAGTGCTCCCACTGTCAATCATGACCAAGAAATTTTGATTGTTTATGTTTCCCCAAATTCGCAACGAACGAGGGTTGTCATGACCAGAGAGTGTGTTCAAGGCTGAGATATCCCCTGCTATATCGTCCACTTCATTTCCGTCTGGTTCTAGTTCAGAGCTTTGAAGTCCATCCTCTTTGTGGTCAGGTGCAGCAATTAGAAGGTTGAATTTACTCCTACATTTATGACCAGGGGAGTATTTTTGGTCACAGTAGAAGCACAAACCCTTCTCTCGTCGCGCTTGAACCTCTGTGACGCTCATCCTTCTTACTGGAATGTTGTCAGTGATAGGTTGATTAACAAGAGTTGGTGTGGGCAGAATACCTTTTGAATTAGTGGAATTAGGAGCAGCGTTGGACCCTTGACCTCCAGTATTCCATGTTCTAATCTCAGGCATAGTTGATGCGTTCTTGGGACTCCATACTTTGGATGTAGTGCGATACTCTCTTTGGTTTTCATCATGTCGTGCTTCATATGCCTTAGCCAACTTAAAGGTCTCCAAAAGCGTTTGAGGTTTGGCAATCAGTAACTCTCGTTTCAACCCGGATTTTAGTCCGCCCACAAAGAAAGAGATCAGCAAGGTCTCCGGAATTCCGGTTACATTGTTCATGAGCCATTCAAATTCAGTTTGGAACTCTGCCACCGTCCCCTTCTGTGTTAATTTCGCCAATTCGGCTCGGTGATCTTCAAAGTGTTGGGTACCGAACCGTTGTTGTATCTTTTCTAAGAAATCGTGCCACCCATATATGAGGTTGTTGCGTTTTGTCCAACGATACCATTCAGCGGCATCCTTCTCTAAGCAAAAGCCTGCTATTTGTAGCCTCTGGTCTTCTGGGGTTCTGTGGAAATCAAAATATTCTTGAATGCTGAATATCCATTGTTGCGGCTCTTCTCCGTCGAATTTGGGTATGTCAAGCCGCATGTGTTGAAGACTATTTTATTGTGAATCAAGTTTGTCTGTTTTGTCTGTAATAATTTAGATGTTTACTATTTCTGTTCTGCACTGATTAAATATATCTGTTAGAATAGTATTCAATATGGGCCAAGTGTTAGGCCCATACTTAGGCGAGAAGCCTTTTTACGCATACCTGAGCCTCGCCTATAAAAGAGGGCTGAGGACTCAGGTTTGCGGTTAACTTTCGTATCTGCTCAAAATAGCTTAAGCGCTTATCATTCTTGTACGAAAGGTTCACGGTATATCAGAGAAGGTTTACACTTGATCTTTCTGTGTTCATCTTTGTTGTTAATCTTTCATCTGTATGCCATATTATATTGCTGTTATAGAAAACAGGGACTAACAACATGGTAGAAGGGCGAGGCAATGGATGTCCGGTATAAGGTGGGTCAGATGGGTCGGGACGAAGCGGAGAACTTGATTCTCCTATCGTGAAGCTGTCAGGGGGCCTCCCCGGGGTATCGAAGGTCTGCTCCCTCCCTCGAATACTCTGCAATCGTGCCTCCATGGTTGCTGTGAGGGAAGTTATATGTTCTCCCAGTTGGCATTGAATTCGTGATTCCTGGGATGCCATTTGCTCACAGATTTGATTTTGAAACCTGTCAAGCATTTGCTGCAGCGAGTTTAGATCAAAGGGTGTGTCGGATGTCCTCACCATGGTTGGTTCTCTCAATGGAAGCACCAGTGATACAACGTAGTTGTACTGCAGATCCTTAGTTCGAGTCAAGGATAAACTCCCAAGGGAACAAAAAGAGAAGAATGTAGAATTTCAGGAATTAATTACTAGTCATACCAAATATGTTCTACTAACAGAGATATATACTGGCATATTACATGGGCAGCAAGACACGAACTAAACAACAATCCCACGTACTAGCTAAATTATAGGAGATAAAACATGAAAGATTAAACTAAAATTAAGGCATGATGAAATCAGCAAAACGTGCAGGGAGTTTCCTGGCCCGAGTGCTAACTGTTTTTCCATGGTTTCCCTTGTCAGTTTCTTTGGGTGTATCAGTTCTACTAAAAGAGGAACCCGCTCAACGATCAAAAGTATTTTGGTGCCAAGAATCGAGAAAAACTCTTGTTGTATCAAATAAAAAACATAAGCTTCTTCGCCCACAGTATATATGACCATTTGTCTATTTCAGCTGTTCTTTTAGCATTAAGAATGCTTATTATGTTTAACAAACCAGATTAGACTAGATGAGAGTTAAATAGATCTAATCAGATCAAAATTTAACAAACCATATTTTAATGATCAAAAGGAGTGATATTTTATTGAGGACTTATGCATTTATACTCGCAAATTTTGCAGTGCAATTTCTTAAGTTTTATGGGGTCCTTACTCTGCATGAGTGGCCTCATTGGCCATGCCGCCATGGTGGCATACTGGCATGGTATAAGGCGTGCAGAAAAGTTACAGAAATAATTAGGGAGAGAAAGAGTAAATAAAATTGAATAAATATAGGTAACAGTCTATGATATTAAAATAATTCTATAATGAAAGAAAACTTTAATTTTCCGGCAATTTTTTCGTAAACACGTTTCTGATTTCTTTTTTTTTCAGTTTTCCAATTTTCTGGAAAACTGGATAATAGTGTTAGTAAGCAGGCCCTAATACTCTTGTTTAGAAAACTCTCTATTTTTGTCTAGTTTTGGCTTAATTAGACTACCGGCTTCACATTTCCTCTTGCCTGACCAATAGGGTTTCAACCCCACAATGATTTAAAAACACTCATCAAATTTGGGCCAATCGTTTGTGGTATGGGGTACCGATTTTAATACAAGTAGCTGATTAATGTGTTGACTAGATCATAGATTTGGAATACTTTGTCCAAAAAGAAAGAAAAAGAAAAAGTCAACACCTAAAGGCCCAACCGCCCACTGCTGGGATTTTAATTACCCATAAATTTGTTCTCACACCTATAAGTAACACATCATGAGAAGGCATGTATAGTACCACCCACCAGCCAGGCTCCTCTCAACTAACAATTAAATCCCATCTTTCATCAATGGTTTGCTTCTGCTTTCTGGTTGATCAGACAAAGGAGGTCCGGCGGAGCAAGCCGGCAGCCGGAACGTGTTCCCGATGTGGCGGCGGCGCTAGCGTGGCCGATATGAAGACCGCCACACGGTTTTGCTACGTCCCTTTCTACTCCAAGAATTGGAAGGCCATTGTCTGCACTTTTTGCGGTGCTGTTCTCAGGTCTTACCACTGAGCTAGCTACTAGCTAGCTAGAATCCGATATTTGTTTTTAATCCTTGATTAATTAATTGATTGATTGATTAAGGATAATTAGGACACGATCTCCATTATTAGCTCTTGTACTAGTCGGTACAAAAAAGCACGGGATTGGCAGACATTTTTGCTAGAGATTCACAAAAGATTCATAGATGAATTGGTAAGAGTATGCCAAATTCGTGTCAAAAATACTTTGGCATGAGCTATTATTAGACACAAAATCATCGGACACTCTGTGTCAAATTCATGTTAATCCCGTTTTTTTTTGTAATCTCAAGTATATCATTGTAACAATCCACCAACAAATACGTAGTACTACACTACTACTACGTATGATATACGAGTGGAGCATTATTCTACAAAATTTTTGTTATATTTAGTGCCCTATTAAATATAAAGTGCTGGAATTATAATTTTGGTGCACATTTAGCATGGTAACCATGGTTAATATCGTGTAGCTGTTTCAGTTTGTGTTTATTTCAACACCCTTATTCACGGTGTCAAATACGTTTTGTTTGGGACAGACAAAAATATGCCTTCACAAACACGAGTGTGTAAGAGTGTGTACACAAAGTGTGTACCTTTAGATTTTTTCTAAAGCATATCGCTGAAATTGATATTAAGCTCTATCCATGGCAATATCACGTCATTATTTTAATCTATGCCGTTATACACGTTTTTGTGTACACGCTCGTACATTTTGCATGGTCGTGGGTAATTCGTGTGTATCACATGCAATTCGTTTGAAAATGTACAAATGATTTGTAATTATATATATATATATATACTCTCTCGATCTGTCCCATAATTAAAGTCCGGATTTGTGATATACCGGAAAATGTAAAAGTTATTTGTAATTTATAGAAATATATGTGTGTGATACAGATAAAATGTGTGAAGTGCCTACATAAATATGTATACCAAGGGTGCTTGAAATACTTTGTATTTATGAAATTGTCACTTCTTAATAATATCATATAGATGTTTCTTTATGGCTCTGTCACTTCTTATACATATGTTTCTTAAGAGTTTATTGTTCTGAACGGGACTAAATTATTGTTCATATTCCCAAATAGGAGTAGATAAAATTTATTCCCGAAATAAGACAACTATTCCAACTTCATCCTCCCACGTGCATCCTTCTCCTCTGCCCAGACTATTTCCGTCTCCCCACAGGTCACATCATACATTCAACTTCTCTCCCCTTCTCCACGCATCATCCAATCTTCCCTTAGTAGATTAGGATTTGTTTTTCTAAATCTTAAATTCTTCTCCCCACTATAGCTTATCTTCGATTGGAAACTTGCAACAACAAGCTCTTCGGTTGCGGTGACGGTTAGCATCATCTAGCGGTGTGCATCGACGAACATCGGCGAGCATCGAGGGAGTGGGTATCAATTGTGATCCAGATCTGTAGGTAGAGTAAAGTAGATCATTCTTCTCCCTCCTCCTCTTTCCTCTTCTATGGTTGTGCCTGTCTCTTCCCGCTTCTGTTTCGTCGCACAACAACCAATTTTTTTCTGCAAATGCCATCAAAATGGCATTTTTATTCTTCAAAAATTTCATATGGCATTTGCGGAAAAAAATTGCCATTAAGATGGCAATCTCGATTCAAGTTGACATTATGTTAAAAAAGTTGGCATCAGCGGCGCCGACAGCCAAATCTGCAGAAGTGGTGGCCGGATCAGCGACGGCGGCAACCAGATCTGCAATGGTGGCGGCCGCATCTACATGGGCTGCAGTCGGCGGCCAAATCTAAGGCGGAAGTGGCCAAATCTGCAGCTACGGCGGCGAAATCTGCATGTGGTGGTTAGTTTTGATGCTAGAGTGGCGATTGGTGGATGCCAGCGGCCACAGGTCTGCCGGTCTGCAGGTCCGCATGTATGTTGGTCAACTCGTGGATGTTGCAGTATGTTTTTGCCAAGGTTCAGGGATATTTTTGTCCAACAACCGATAATAACTCCTATTTGGGGAATATTTAAATTTTAATCCTATTTTGGCAATTAAGAACTTAATTGCTCCCATTTAGGTAAATCCCTCGTTTCTTAATGATGCCATATATCATGTATGGTCAAATTGAATACAAACTAATGTAACACAAAGTTAGATGTCATAGTCTAGCTTACCATTATAAATAAATGACATTTAAGAGAGGTAGTTTTAGTTTATTAGATATTTAGATGGACGTCAAATAAGAGATGATATTAAATGACATTCTAGTAGTTGCTTGATTGCTTCTTATTGTAAACAAGTACGAAACATTCCAGGCTAAGTTATATATATGTACACATTTTTATATTTTTATATTTATAAGTTTCAAAACTACTTAAAAATGGACTTTTAAATATAATAGTCGTGTTTGAAGCAACATTTCTTCGCGTGTGCTTTTAAAAACATAGTAAATGGAGTTGAAAGTAAAAAAAAAACGATACATCAAGAATAAAATATTACACTAATTGTATACATGTTTTCTGTCCTGATTTATTTTTTTGGATGTTCATGTTGACACTTTGTAAACACAATGGTCTGCCAATATGCCATTGAGGATAACGTGTGATCATCCCAACTCATTTTATGTATCATACTCTTATAAAAGTTACATAAAGAAATGAAAGATAGTTATATTTAAATATAAACCAATCAATAAAACTTCTATTTAAAAATTGCAATGCGAGTGATTTTACAAATTTAAACTGAGGGTAACATTGTAACTATATACTCCCTCCGTCTCGGAAAATTAGTCCCACTTTGACTTGGATCGGAGTTTAAGAAAGTGGGAGTAAAGTGGAAATGTATGGTTGTGGTTGAGTAAGAAAAAGGTAAATGAATGTTAGTCACACAAAACTTTCCAAAAAGGGAAATGAGAACAATTTTTTGGGACGGCCCAAAAAGGAAAATGAGACTTATTTTATGGGACGGAGGGAGTAATTATTAATATATGAAATTAAGAAATAAATTAAAGAAAAATTTATAGTTTGATCACACTGCCAATCCCGACTTGGCCCTGAGCCCATGACCACTTCATGTAACTTTTATAAGAGTATATGATACATAAAATGAGTTGGGATCACATGTTATTCTGATCAATGGCAGATTGGCAGACCGATTGTGTTTAAAAAGTGTCAACATGAACATCCAAAAAAATAAATCAGGACAGAAAACATGTATACAATTAGTGTAATATTTTATTCTTGATGTATCGTTTTTTTACTTTCAACTCCATTTACTATGTTTTTAAAAGCACACGCGAAGAAATGTTGCTTCAAACACGACTATTATATCGTTAGTCATTGAATATCGTTAGTCATTTGGGACATTCTTTTTATTAAATACGGAGTAAATAGTGTGAATATGATGAAAATAATAATACTACCTTCCTCTCAAAAGGAAGTTCTTATTTTCCTTGTATGAATGTCCCAAAAATTAAGAAAACCATTTTTATCTCAAAAGTCATAAATACTCTTACTTACTTTTTACCCTTTTTTTTCTTGATTTGACATAAAGTAAAAGTAAGCTTGGAAAGTCAAAACAAAACTTTATCTTACACAAATACTTCCTCTATTCTTTTTTAGTTGCAGCATTCCTTTTTTCACGCTTGCCAATGCACAATTTTGACCATCATTGTATTTAATTCTCTATTAGTAAAAAACTTTTAAAAATCATATTATGAAACTTTGTAATAAGACGAATTCAACAATATTTTTCAAAAAAAATAATTCACATACATTAATAAATAAAATGTAGTCAAAGTAGAGTACATGAATAGTGTGCAAATTCCAATGTTCCAACTATTATGATACGGAAGATAATATGTGTGTAGATCAAACCAGAAACAACTCTTGCAGTGAAATAAAATTAAAACACACTTAAGAATTGTTTTTCAAGAGTTGTTTTTCAAATTTTCAAAACACGTACATTATTACTATTTTTATTGCTTTTTCGTTACTCATTAATACACATAAACGTATTAAAAACAATCCTAATATAACTTTTAGGATTTTCAAAGGAAAAAAAAATAGTTTAGATAATTTTAAAACGTTAAACATAAAAAGGTCATGAACAAAAATGTAATTTAGTACTACTTCTGTCCCGGAAAGGTTCGCCAAATTGATTTTTCCTGATAAATGATGACAAACTTTGGACAATGATTTTAATGATTATATATGTATAAAATTTCTAAATTTTATACTGTTATAAAGATATTTTTTGAATAAGGAACATTTTGATATAATTTTCATATTCAAAAGTATTTCGTATTAAAAAGTAATTGATTGGTCAAAGTTGATTGTCGTTGACCAAGAAAAATCAATTTAGTAAACTTTTTCGGGACGGAGGGAGTAACTTTTAGTGACTATAGTTGTGCTCAAAGTTTACATTATAGTGTCTACATCGTAGTAATGTAACTTTAAACACAATTATAGTCCCTAAAAAATACTGATTGGGTATATTTAATTATAGAGAAAAGTGAGAGCTAGAGAGAGAATCAAGTATTAAATGATTTTCTATAAAATATTTATAGAGGAAATGTGTGTTGGATTCTCGGGTTTGAGTCTGGGAGATCCAATTACAATGATGGACCATTGTAGGTTGTTTACACAGACTAATCCAATAAGTATTGAGCGAAAATTGTCTGCTAAAGGTCTTGACCAATGTGATCATCTCTTGGGCTAAGTTGTTGAATCCTTTTCTGGAGTTCTTCATTTATGGGAGTCTTTCTGTGGGTGGTCCTCATCTCGTCGTTGCATATCCATGAGTATGTGGATCGTGAGTCCAGAGCCATACACTCTATCAGTTACCGAGTCATATATTTGTCCATTACAGTTCAAGTAATATCCGACTTCAGTGATCCCATTGGTGACCCGAAATATCCATACTGGCTTTCACTTATGCTTCCATTGGCACGACAATCGACCGATTAGTGCACTCTCGAGCCATGCCCTTGCCTTTTCCGTTATCGCCTTAACAATTAGTGACTCAGTGCCACTGTCACCTTAACGTGTGCACCCTTCATTTAAATATTTTAATATATTTTTAATTGACAAAAAGTACGTAGTAGTTCATAAAAATTGTAATTTTTTTTACATTTGGAAGACATGTAACTTAAGTTTATAATTGCATTTCATTAGTCATAAATATACCATAAAAGTATAAAAAAGCGATGTAAATGTTATTTCTTGAGTTTCAAATGAAAAATAAATACTACTTAATAGTTTCAAATAATTTTAAAAATTCTAATCATTGAGATACATTCAAGTCTTGTATGCTTTATTATCATGTAAGTTGGATTTGACCTAATTTAAGACATGAACAAGTTAAAATATTCGTACAACATATGACTTAAATCATGATCCATATATTTTTTATGGCTATTTATTTATAATATTTGAAAATACAAATAAATAAAAAATTAATAATATAACATTCTAAAGTATAAAACAATTTAGGAAAAACTAAAAAAGATTATTAGAAGTATTATTTACTCAATATTAGCTCCCTAATATTGAAAAGAAACAATGACAAAAATATTACTCATGATCTTTTGATGGACAAAAATATCACTAAATTTCAATTGGACAAAAAAGAGAGCAAAATATCCCAGGCCTTGCTACTTGCGGGACTCTCTTTCTCCCTGACCTTGCGCAACTCTTCTCCAAGCGCCATCATCCTCTCCAGATCGGTGCCTCCACTAGCACGACGGCTCCGCTACTGTTGCACCGCTGAAGAAGCTACATCTCGGCGCTTCCACCAGCCGGACACATCTAAGATTTGTTATCACCTTTTCTTCCCCTTTCTTAGCATTGCCATCGTACTGGTCGATCTTGATCGGATTGCTCGCCTCTGGCTAAAATTGAGGAGCTGGTGCATCTGGGGTTACATGTTGGAATGGGGGTAGAGTTACCAGTTGGAATGGGGCTAGGTTTGGGCGACAGCGTGATTGGAGTTGGCGGCAACAGGTGGGGCGGCGTCGGACTGGTAATAAGCTGGTGATGGGGCTACGAGAAAGGGAGGGGTTGTAATGTGAAAGAGGCAGAGGAGAGGGGGTGATTGCAGGGGAGAGAGCGGCGTCACTGTGGCAGTGTCACTATGGCAGCATCACCGTGTTGGCGGCACTATGGCGGCGTCACTATGATGATGTCACTGTGGTGGTGACGGTGTAATTGGCGTGAAATTTTTTGACGATGCCCGCTCTCTGTGATATGAAAAAACGAACACAGTGACATAAATTTTTTACAGTGACATCATATTTTCTAATTCCAATTATATGACCTTGTTAATCATTTTTTTGTCAATTTATAAAAGTACTCACATTTTCGAAAATTCATTTCAATTTGGTAATTTGGTAATATTAAGGGAAACCCCCCTCCAGGCCGGGCTCCATCCATGATACTCCTCCTTGTCATTTGTCCCTACATGATAAAATAACGCAGGATATAATTGACCACAAGATGATAAAATTGGGGTGCGCCGATAAGGAAGGCCCTCCATAAACCCAAAACCCTATACTTTCCGAAGTCCTCAATTTCTCCTCGCTAATTCTCTGCTGTAGCCCTAGCAGTCGGTGCTTGACATCGCCGCCGGCTCTCCGGAGCTCTAAAGACATCCCAACCAGTCCAAAGGCCCAAATAAAAACCACGGAGTAACTAACGCAATACAGGCAGCCTTCACCCCTCACGGCTGTAAACTAACGCAGGCAGCCTTCTGCGGTTGACGGTTCCGTTCCGCCTTCAAGCTTCAGCCTTCGACATCGGCGTCCAGCACTGCACGTCTTCAGCTCCAACTCTCCAAGCCTTCAAGAGTTCTGGTTATCAGGTATTCAGGTACACCTTTGACCTTCGGAGTTCGGACCTGCTTTGGAAGTTCGGCCATTGTTTTACACTTTTACAGAACTACAGTCTTTAACATTTTCTTTTATTGATTATGTGACCAGTTTTTATCAATTGACATTTTATTTTATTAATTTATTTGATTGATACGAACATATGATTATGTGACCAGTTTATTAATTGATAAATTGATTTAATTCATAGTTGTTTAATGTTTATACATGATTATGAATATTTGACAAATAATTAGTTGATTTGTTACATGTTAATCATTTTGTTAGGTAAAATTTTCAATTATAATTAAATTTATAAATTTAAATAATTTCAAGATTTAATAAAAATGGGTGTATCTTGATGGGAGAAAAAAATGAAGAAGAGAAGAATATATAATGGTGCCCTAAGTAAAAAAGGTTCAATGGAAAATTTTTCAAAATGTTTTACCCGATGACAAAGACACTATCATTCAAATTC